CCTGAGCTGTGGCATCACCCAAGCAAGGCCTGGTCCTGTGCAGGTCCCCACTGTGTGATGTCATCATGGAGCCTTTGTCATCTCCACAGTAACCGTTGGAAACAAGACCTCCCACAGGGGGAGATGAAGGCTCTGACATACAGGCGATGGCTTCCTCCGGCCCAGGCCCATCTGGCTCCTCACCTCAGAGCCAAGGCACACAACAGGGGGCTGGGGGTGGGATAGATTTGTGGGGAGGAAGGAAGCAGACCCCTCTCCAAATCCCATCACAGGCTCCCCTCCCACTCCTGCTCCCCCAATTCCTCACCCCCTCACCCCAGTCCCTTTCCTACACTCTGTGCCTAAAGCGGGGATACAACCCAGGCATCCAATGGGGCAGGGGCTGCGGGTCAGGAGTGAGGGGCACCAGTGGGGCAGGGGGCTGCAGGTCAGGAGTGAGGGGCACCCACCAGGCTGGCAGGGGGGCAGAAGCAGAGGCAGGGGCCACCCCCAAATTCTGGGGTACAGAGCCCTGTTGATGACTCACTGGCCCCACCCTTTGCTGAATGTGGGGCCAAATTTGGCCACTATAAAGGCCTGCCAGCTTGCCCCCCAGCAGGGAGCCGTCACAGTGGCCCCCGCAGGCACCCAGCATGGGGGTAAGCAGTCGCCCATCCGCCCCTTTACCCCGGGAATAATCCGTGCCATGTGTCCACGCCCCTCAGGTGGTGACAGAGGGAGCCCAGCCCTGCCTGGCCACCCCCCCGCTGGTTCACTGGAGCCCTTGGGGGCACAGATGGTGCCAGGTGCCTTCCCGGACATCTACGATGGGGACGGCCAGCAGTGGGAAGCACATTTCCGGGGCATCCAGCGGGCCTACCAGGAGCTGGGAAAAGCCGAGGACTTTGCGATCCGCGTGCTGACTGAGGACTTCACGCTGCCCTTCCCCTTCGCCTGGCCGCCCGCCTCACCCCCCGACTGCGCCAGCTGCAGTTTCTTCCTGCGCCCAGGCTGCCCTGTGCCTCGCTTCCTCCAGCCCCTGCACACCACTGCCCAGGCCTTTGTCAAGAAGCGCCAGCTGGAGCAGCTGGTGCTCCGCTATGCCCACCAGGCTGGCACTGCCATGGAGACTGGCGCCACGCCCACCAGCCCCAGGGAGCCAACCGCCGACGGGCAGGGCCCTGCGCAGCTCCACTGCAGCCCCCAGTGATGTTCCATCTATGCAGGAACCCCAGCCCCTCCTGCTCCAGATGTTCCTAATACCCACCCTTGCCCACCTTGCTGCTCCAGGGCTTCCCAATCCCCGTCCTGCTTGTAGTCACCTGCCAGATGTTTCTACAGCTGCCTTCATGCTTCAGATGTTTATGCCTCCCCCTCTTAATGTACCAGACGCCCATTGCCTGTCCAGATGTTCGTGGCCAAATGCCAGGGGGCCAGCCCCGCCCACCTGCATGTTCCAGATGTGGGTGGGGTTGAGTATGGCCACCACAGCCCTCCAAATGTGCATCATGCCCTAGCCAGCTCACCCATAGGCTCCAGACGTTTGCAGGCCATTAAACGCTCCAGGTGTTTCTGAACCCTGGCCTTTATGTTCCAGATGTTTCTAAGGTCCCATCCTCTCTGCCTCACTGTTCCAGATGTTTGGGACCCTCACTTGAGACATGGATGAGGGCCAGCTGTGCCCCACAAAATGCTCCAGATGTTTCTAAGGTCCAGCCCTGCCTGTCTCAGTGCTCCAAATGTTTGGGAACCTGAAGCCAAGTGCAGATAAGGGCCAGCTGTGTCTTCATCACGCTCCAGATGTTTATCGCCTTTCAGCTGTGGGGGCCTTCGTGCTCAGGATGTTTGTGGAGCATTCCCAACACTCCTGAAAATCCAGGTGCACACCCCCAGCACCACCCCTTGGGATGCTCCAGATGTTCATCGCATCCTGCAGTGCTTCCCACCATACTCCAGATGTACACGAGCTCCAGGTCCACCCACCTTTGGGTCCCAGATGTTCAGGGATCCCAGCCCAGCCTTGCCAGTGGTTCCAGATGTTCATGGCAAGTCAGAGGCTCCAGTTGTGACTCCTCCACCCCCGGGAATCCAGGCCTGCCAGATGCAAAACAGTTGGACGCCATTGGGGGGGGGGGACACGTCTCACCCCAGCTTAGGAAATACCCCCCTGGAGCCTAGGAAATCCACCCCCCCCAGGAAATGACCCCCTAGAGCAACAAAGCATTTTGGAACCAGTTGGTTTGTTTTGGAGTCTTTTTTTGTGGGGGGTGTTCTGATTTTGGGGGGCAGGCTGCTCTTCCCCCCCTACAGAACATTTAGATCTTGTAAAAAACATTTCTCCCTCTTTTTAACCAAAAAAATGGTTCTCCCCTTTTAACCAAAAACTGAGGGGTCCCCTGTGGTTCAGTGGTAGAATCCCCGCCCCCCAAAAGTATATCGTTTTTAAAAAATAATGTATATTTTTGTCTGTTAACAGAAGCCCAAGTTCATCACACAAAAAGCTGGTGTTTCTATAAAAAAGGGGGCTCTTCAAATGATTTATTTGGGGGCTTTTATCAGGGCTTTAGTAGAAATCTGGAAGGGTACTTTAAAATTTATTTAAATAAAACAAATTTATTCAAATTTCCTATTTCCTCTAGGAGATGGATATATTTACCAAAAAACCTCGCAAAAACCAGGAAAGGGGGGGGGGGGGTGTTGTTACTGGAATCTAGGTGCAACAACCCATCTGGGTCATATTCTTGCAAAAGAGGGTTTTTGACACAAAAAGAGGGGTTTTTCCCCCAATGGAAAACCAGGCTTTTGATGAAAAAGGTTTTTGTCTTTTCTAGGACGGAAAATGGGGATTTGAACCAAAGAAAACCCTTTTTTTCCACCATAAAATCGGGTGAACAGAAGTTTTTGTTTTGCTTGGCGGGGAGGGCCCCGTGTCGCGCGCTGCGTGCGTGTGCCTGTCCCGTGCTGGGCACACGTGCGCCCCGGGCGCCTGGGTTCCGCCCGGCCCCTGCACCAGCAGCTGCTTCTGGCGCCAGACCGGGGGAGACCCCGGGCGTCCTGCCCGGCGCCGGGCCCTGCATTGCCTCTCCCGGGCCACTAGGGGGAGGGTGCGAGTAGCCCCGCCCCGCCACGCTCCATCCGGGGCCTTCCC